CCCTCCAGCACACCCTCCCCCTCCACGCTGTCTGTGAGCACCAGCACAGTGGAGACCCCCGGAGACCCTGCGGACTGCCATCGCTGTCCCCAGTGCGGGAAGACCTTCAGCAGTCGCACCAACCTGCGCACGCACCAGCGCACCCACAGGGGCAAGAGGCCGCACTGCTGCTCCTACTGCGGCAAGTGCTTCGGGCGGCTGGAGACGCTGAGGACGCACCTGCGCCTGCACACGGGGGAGAAGCCCTACTCCTGCCCCCAGTGCGAGCTGCGCTTCACCAACCTGGGCAACCTGAACTCCCACCAGCGCACGCACACGGGCGAGCGGCCGCACAGCTGCTCCCTGTGCGGGAAGACCTTCAGCGCCGTCGGCACGCTGAAGCGCCACCAGCGCACGCACACGGGGGAGACCCCCTACTCCTGCTCCCAGTGCGGCAAGAGCTTCAGCCAGTCGGGCCACCTGAAGCGGCACCAGCAGATCCACACGGGCGAGCGGCCGCACTGCTGCTCGCTGTGCGGCAAGAGCTTCACCACCTCGGAGAAGCTCAAGCGGCACGAGCGCATCCACACGGGCGAGCGGCCCTACTGCTGCTTCCAGTGCGGCAAGAACTTCAGCACCCTGGGCTACCTGAAGACGCACCAGCGCTTCCACACCGGCGAGCGGCCCTACTGCTGCTCCCACTGCGGGAAGAGCTTCAGCCTGCTGGGGCCCCTGAAGGCCCACCAGCGCACCCACACGGGCGAGCGGCCCTACTGCTGCCCCCAGTGCGGCAAGACCTACACCGAAGCCCAGAACCTGAAGAAGCACCTGCGCACGCACACGGGGGAGAGGCCCTACTGCTGCGACTACTGCGGCCTGACCTTCCGGCTCAAGGCGCAGCTGAGGAAGCACCTGTGCGTCCACGGGGGGGACGCCTCGCTCCCAGAGCCCCCGGCCGCCGCCGCCGCTGGGGGCGCGCCCCTCGTCTGAGACCAGGCCGCGGCGGCGTAGCCGGTCCGTCCGGGTGCGGTGCCCGCAAGCCTAGCCACCACTGAGCATCCCGGAGTCTGCGTCGTCTCCCTGCTGCAGCGGGTCTTGCCTTCTGAGAAGAGCGGGGTTTGCGAGCTCGCATCCAGCTGTGCCACCGCCGTCGAGTGCGTGCCGAGTTGCACGAGGCTGCGTTTGGGCAAAGCACACGTTTCTCACAATACCCCCCTTGGTGTATGCAAAGACGATGTACTCGAGTGTCTTCTTGTTTATTTAAAAGCGTGGCATTAACACGGGGAGAGATTTAGCCGTCAGCTGTCGGTAGTTTTTGTTGTTACAGGCGACATGTTCCGATATTTCGCCTTCCCCTTGGAACGGCGGCAGTAGCCCCCTTGCCCTCACCGCCGCGTGCGTCCTGTGGAGTTGCTCTCCTTGCTACACAAGAGTAGCCAGCAGGGGGCGCCAGCGAGTGCTCGGGCTGCAAATGTGAAAGTGCTGCCGGTTCGAGAGAGGCTCAGGCCTGCTGGACTGTAGGTAAATGTCATTTACATAACTCTAGGGGGCGCCGTTTGTCTGGTGCTCCGTTTTTCATTACTCTTAATCCCAGTTCCAGGCATGCTGGAGGACAAACTGCTAAAGCTGTGGGATCTTTCGCTTCTGCCTTTCTGGAAGTTGTGCTGTCGGCTCTGTTTTTTTTCCTCTGCGATCTGCCTGCTTCCCTCAGAGTTTGAACGCGCCGTCGAGCTTGGTAGGCGCCAGAGACATTTTACTGTTCCAACACAATCCCTGTGGGCGTGTCTCTCCTTGCATCAGTCTGCGGAATTTGACTGGATGTCCCTGTGTAATATAAGGATAATGGATTTGCAATTCCTGCGCAGTTTCTAGAGCTTTGTGCTAAGTATGTCCAAAAACAGCGCTGCTTTTCTGGATGTGCGTTTCTGCCAGCACTAAAGCAAAGTGTGTTTTGGACTCGGGTTTCCTAGTCAGTGGACACTAATTACAGATTTGTAGTAGTATTAAATGGATTTTGTTACAGTTTCCTTATGTGGGAGGATTCATTTTCAGATTTAAACGCAATGGCCGCTCAATGCAAGTGTAAAATGGAGTACCTACCAACAGGACTATTTTCTTTCTGGATTGCGGTCTTTAGCCTGCAGAAACTGCACAGGTGTCTGTGGGCCTGCGGACTCTGGCCTCGTCACAGACTTCTAGGCCAAGGTGTTTGGTCTTTTCTTTGAGGTGAAGCCTGTAGCTGGTGTAGGCCTGACTGACAAGTTTCTGTATTACTTGTTCATGTGTGGTCCAGCACAGGGGGTATCTCAGGCGAGCTGGCCAAATTTCCCATTGGCCCTTACCAATCATGGCCTCCTAATAATCCCCCTCTCTGAACTAGCTTCATCACTCTGTTCTCCTCCCCACCAATAGCCGATGTGTGGGGAGCGTTCTGGCGCACTATGGCTGCCGTCACGTCATCCAGGTGGGGCTGCACACTGGTGGTGGTGGAGGAGAGTCCCCATTACAGAATAAAGCGCTTTGAGTGGAGTGTCCAGAAAAGCACTATATAAGTGTAAGCAATTATTATTGTGGTTCAGGTGGGGAGCTGCGTCAGCATGCGTAGGGTGCAAAGGAACAAGTAAAAGGTTTATTCCATGCTGAAAAAAAGAAGAAAGAAAACACAACGTATCGGCCATGGAGCCTTCTTCAGGTGTTACACCTGAAGAACACCTGAAGAAGGCTCCATGGCCGAAACGTTGTGTTTTCTTTCTTCTTTTTTTCAGCATGGAATAAACCTATTACTTGTTCCTTTGCAGCAATTATCATTGTAAATGGCAGTCAAAGAACTTCCACTAAGACCGTTAATAAAATGAATTTCCCCTTTAGAATTAGAATCTTCTACAGGTGCTACAACCAGCCCATATTCACCCATGTCTGTATTTCAGACATCTGCTTCTCTGTTGTGGATGGCAGTAGGTTCACAAAAGCTCCCTTTGACCTTAATTTAATGCCACCGCATAAACATATACAGTTGTTAAAAGCATGTGTGTGTTATTTTTGCTAGTTTTCACAAGCGCCAGTATGTGATGTTCTCTCTGTGTCTAACTTGATCAATGCACAAAGCTTACATTTTCCCTGTTATAAAGCAGCCAAACCTTGTCAGAAAGATGACCACGAAACGTCGAAATATCTTCCCCGGGTGTTTCTTTCTTGTTACTGAGTGTCATGAGGAGGTGTTGTACCGTTGAAATATTTCTCCAGTGTCTGGAGGGGACACCAGGCTTTTCTCCGAGAGCAGCGCAGTGCTCCTGAGAGGTGAGATCTCCTAGCTCTGTGCTGTTACTCAGTCCTTAATGACCCGCCTGACCCTGAGGACCAGGGAGTCAGTAGAAGGGGGGACATTGCTCTATATTAAAGGCAGACCAAATGTGATGGTCGATTGACAAAAATCTGTAAGAACCAATTGGGAATAAAACCAACTTCTGTTTCCAGTACTGTGCGGTCTATGCATTTTTTTTAAAGGCTGGGTTTTTCTAGTAGCACTAGAATATGTAGCACTAGATTTCTTATTTTTCTTGTGTCCAGTTTGATCTAGCTGCAAGGTTTCCTTCGTGCACAACAGATACAGATATGGAGAGAGGTGAACCAACCACTGATCGCGTCACCTTTCAGGGGAGACTGGAAGGCGCAGAGTCCTTATCCCCCTACAGATGTGACTTTCCACCACTGGCTCCTCAGCCAAGCACAGAAACTCTCAGTCCGCTCCTGAGCTGCTGCTTGGATCAGGGGGAGGGGATTTAAATCAACATCCATCCAGCCATTTTCTAAGAGCTTTATCCAGTACAGGGTCACAGGGGAGCTGGGGCCTATCCCAGCAAACAGCGGGTGCAAGGTGGGATACACCCTGTACAAGACACCACAGACAGCCACACATACTGTACCAGGGCCAGCTTTTCCAGAAGCCAATTAACTTACCAACATATCTTTGGACTGTTGGAGGAAAACTCATGCAAACCCAAGGAGAACATACAAACTCCACACAGATCCAGCTGGATTCAGCTCCTGGGGTGCTGTCTGTGAGGAGGTTGCATGTTTTCATTGTTTTGTTTTGCATGTGTTCACCTGCTCCTCTTGGGTTTCCTGTGGGGCACTGTTGTGTTAAAGGCAGAGCTGCAGTCTATGAACAAGGCCCATGAGTATGTCCATGGTTCAGTTCCCGGAGTGCTATCTGGATGGAGCCTGTATGCTCTTCCCTGGTTTGTGTGAGTTTTCTCCTGTGGTCCAAAGACATGCTGGTAGGTTAACTGGCCTCTGGGAAAATTGGCCCTGGTGTGAGTGTGTCTGTGCCCTGTGATGGACTGGCGTCCTGTGCAGGGTGTCCTGGCTTGCGATAGGCTCTGGCTCCCAGCTGAGTCCTGTATTGCACAAAATGGGTCGAAAATGGAGGGATGTCAGTCTGCCCTGTGTCCAATCCAGGGTGTTTCCTGCCTTGTGCCCACTGCCTGCTGGGATGGCCTGCTGTCCTACAGAGTTCCAGGGTATTTTCTATGGTCATTTGCATTGATCTCTGCCAGTCCATCACAGGGCACTCTCTCCTGACCTATACAACCAGCTGCCTGTGGCTCCCTGGGTCCGGGGTGAAAACACACATTAAAAAGTGTTTTTTTCCCCCAACCAGACTCATCTACAACAGCACACCTCTTGGTACACAGTCACCTCCTGCTTTTGACTCTCCGCTCAGACCCGGACCTGTGTAGCTCAGCAGTGTGCCAACCAGCCCTTTTCTTTTTTGAGAACACAACACAATGGTCCCATTGCCTCGAGACAATCCCGGTCCGACTCCGATGTTTTACGTTCCTCCCTGGAAAGCCCAGGACGCCTCCCCTTGCTGAGGAAGGGTAGGCCGTGGTTTGGGATGAAGCGTGTATTAGAATCCCAGGAATCCAATCACCTAAGGAGCATCTGCGTCTCGGGCAGGACAGGCAGGCCCAGCGGACTCCCCCTGCCTTGTCCGGATTAGCTCGGACGCCCACTCTGAGCCGGGACAGGCTCCAGCCCGTGGACACGGGCGACGCCGCAGCTGGGTTTTGGTTGGAAGAATAGGATCAACTTCTTTTTGCAGCACTGTAGAATCTTGCAATAAGAACGCTGATCTTGCCTTTTCTATTTAAAAAAAACACTATATACTCCTTCACTGTGTGAGCCTGACAGAAGCCTGTGGACTCGTACTGGAGTCAGGCAGCAGGTCACGCCCAGCCTGGCTCCAGTTCAATTTGTGTCGGGTTTACTGTGGTCCTTCTTTGACCAGATGAAGGTCAACATTCGCGGGAAGGAAGGCAAGGAAGGTATTCTTCGGTCTTGGTAAACTGGACCCCAAAGAATCACAGAGATGCCATATTCAGTTTGTACACAGCCATTATTAGAGCAGGAGAGAGTGGCAGGCCTTGCTTTTGGACAGAGCCCCTCCATGCAGAGTTCCTTGCTTTCTCCTGAATTTCTAACAGCTCAGTGTCGCTCCTAAGCCGAGACGCAAGTGGAGACGCTGTGGAAGTGCAGTTAGCACTGAGAACAGGAAGCACTACTTAATACAAAGGGTGGTGGGAGAGTGGAATAGGTCATTCTGCCAAGTTGTTGAAAGTAACAACTGGCTTGGCTCAAGAAGAATTGCTTACTGAACTGCTCCAGTAAAATATCCAGTTGAGTAAACAGATGCAGAAGTTGTCTATAGATAAAAGCATCAGCCAAATGAGTAATAGTTATAACACAGCGTGAAATAACATGACTTTATTATACTTGTAGCCTCACACCAGACACAAAATTGTTCTCAACAATGACAAGGTGTTACGACACAGTACTACAAAACATTTCAGAGCGGCGCTCACCATGATGGCCTTGTCATAAATCCTTCTGCGCGCAGTCCTGCTCGAGTGGGCAGGAACTGCAGGGTTTGAGCGGCTCCCGGCACGGCGCCAGATTCCGGGAGATTCCCAGGTTGCCACTGAGAGATCGCCATTGCAAGCAATGTCACCTGCTGTCCCACAATGCTTTTCTGTTGGGAGGAATCAGGCCATTTAAAAACGAGACTTTGACTAAGACAATGGCTGCCCCTCCCTCCGGCGGTAGGTTCCACTCGTAGGTGTCTGCGACCGCCCGGGAGGAACAGAAGCCAGCTCTTATGCTTCCTCGTTCGTACCGGGCTCCGGCCGGATCCAGTTCGTTTCGTGTCCAATCCTGGGGCTCGTCGCGCCTGCCGGCTGGGGTCTGCTCCCGCCCCCTTCCTCAGACTCAGCTGTGCACGTGTGCCTGCACGACAGGAGAGGGCAGGGTTATACAGGGAGCCGGGTGGCACGAATGCCACCTTGGGAAATCAAATGAAGGGTCATCCATCCATCCATCCATTTTCGAACCACTTTATCCAGTACAGGGTCGCAGGGGAGCAACAGGCAAAAGGCTGGGTACACCCTGGACAGGACAGCAGTCCATCACAGGACACACCCTGGCCAGGACACCTGTCCATCACAACACCCACCCTGGACAGGACAGCAGTCCATCA